ATCGAGTCCCATGTTGGGCTCCCTGCATGGAGCCTGCTTCTCCCTCTGCCTGTGTCTCTGCCTGTGTCTCTGCCTCTGTCTCTCTCTGTGTGTCTCTCACGAATAAATAAATAAAAACTTTATTAAAAAATATTTTATTTATTTACGAGAGACACAGAGAGAGAGGCAGAGACATAGGCAGAGGGAGAAGCACGCTCCTTGTGGGAAGCCTGATGTGAGACTCAATCCCAGGACCTCATCACAACCTGAGGTAAGGACAGATGCTCAACCACTGACCCACCCAGGTGCCCCGGTCTTTGTGAGTTTTTAAAAAGATTTTTTTTTTTTTTAAGATTTTATTTATTGGGCAGCCCAGGTAGCTCAGCGGTTTAGCACCGCTTTCAGCCCAAGGCATGATCCTGGAGACCCAGGATCGAGATTTGATTTATTTATTTATTTATTTATTTATTTATTTATTTATTTATTTATTTATTTATTTATGAGAGACACACACAGAGAGAGAGAGAGAAGCACAGACACTGACAGAGGGAGAAGTAGAGAAACTGGTGGGGGAGGAGTAGAGGAAAAGACAAGCAGACTTCTCACTGAGCATGGATCCCAATTTAGGGCTGAATCCTGCAACCCTGAGATCATGACCTGAGAGGAAATCAAGAATCAGACACTCAACCCACTGAGCCACTCAGGAACCCCAAGGTTTTATTTTTAAATAATCTCTGCAACCAACCTGGAGTTCCCACTCACAATCCCAAGATCAAGAGTTGCATGCTATACTGACTAGCCAGCCAGGTGCATCTGTATTTTGTGGGTTTAAATGGCATTTTATATGATTCCATTTTCTCTCCTTTCTTAGTATATTTGGTTAAACTTTTTTTTAAAAGATTTTATTTATTTATTCATAGAGACACAGAGAGAGAATGAGAGGCAGAGACACAGGCAGAGGGAGAAGCAGGCTCCATGCAGAGAGCCTGACGTGGGACTCGATCCAGGGTCTCTAGGATCACGCCCCGGGCTGCAGGCGGCACTAAACCGCTGCGCCACCGGGGCTGCCCTTTTTTTTTTTTTTAAGATTTTAAGTAATCTCTGCACCTAACATGGGGCTCAAACTCAAAATCCAAGATCAAGAGTCATATGCTCTACCTACTGAGCCAGCCTGGAGCCCCTAAACTTCTTTATAAACTTCTTAGAAGTGCCTGGGTAGCTCATTGGTTAAGCATCCAATTCTTGATTTTGGCTCATGCCATGATCTCGGGGTCGTGAGATCAAGCCCCAAGTTGGGCTGTGCTTGGCATGGAGCCTGCTTAAGATTCTCTCTCCCTCTGCTCCCCCCAATCTTACTCAATCTTTCTCATAAATAAATAAAAACACTTTTTAGTGGTTGCCCTGGAGTTTGCAATATATTTACAATTAATCTATGTCCACTTTTTTTTAAGATTTTATTTATTCATGAGAGACACAGAGAAGCAGAGACATAGGCAAGGGAGAAGCAGGCTCCCAGCAGGAAGCCTGATGCGGGTCTCAATCCCAAGACCCCAGAACCATGACCTGAGCCAAAGACAGACACTTAAGCACTGACCCATCCAGGTGCCCCTCCACATCCACTTTCAGATAACAATTTACTACTTCATGGAGTGTACAAGTACCTTACAATACAAAAATACTCTTAATTCCTCCTTCCTGTCCCTTTTATCATTTGTGTCATCCATTTTACTTATACATAAGCACACATGTCTTAGTCCATCTGAGGAGTTAAAAAGGAATTTCCTATACTGCGTGGCTTATAGACAACAGAAATGTATTTTCCACAGTTCTGGAAGCTAGCAAGTCTAAGATCAAAGCAACAGCAGGTTTGGTGTCTTATGAGGGCCTATTTCCTGATTCATACACAGCCATCTTTTCACTGTGTTGTCACATGGAACAAGGAACAAAGGAGCTCTCAAGAGTCTCTTTTTACAAGGGCACTAATACTATTCAAGAAGGCTTCACCCTCATGACTTAATTACTTCCGAAAGGCCCCACCTTGTAATACCATCACCCTCGGAGTTAGGATTTTAACACATGAATTTTGGGAGAACACATTCTTTCTATAGCAATCCATATATACAAAAGCATAGTTAATCAAATATATTGTTATTAGTATTTCAACAAATTTATCTGGTGATCAAGAATAAAAAAATTTTTTTTTCTTCTAAGATTTTATTTATTCATGAGAGACACACAGAAGAGAGAGGCAGAAGCAGTCTCCCTGCAGGGAGCCTGATGTGGGACTTGATCCTGGCCAAAGGGAGGCGGCGCTCAACCACTGAGCCACCCAGACATCCCAAAAATAAGTTTTGATTTTACCTTCACTTATTCCTTCTCTGATGATCATACTTTCTGTATGCAAATCCAAGCTTCTGACTCCTATCATTCTACTTCCCTCTAAATAACTTCTAACATTTCTTGCAAGGAAGGTCTACTGGCAATAAATTCCCTCAATTTTTGTCTTTATGTACTTTTTGAAAGTCTCTCTCACATTTAAAGAATAATTTTGCAGAGTACTAAATTCTAGCTTGGTGGGTTTTTTCTTTCAACATTTAAAATATTTCATTCCAAATGTCTTCTTGCTTGCATAGTTATTGAGAAGTCACATGTAATTCTTCTTTGCTCCACTATAGGTAAGGTATTTTTCCCTCTCTGGTTTCTTTCAGATTTTAAATTTATTGTTGATTTTCTAGAAATGAAAATATCCCTAGACTTAGGGATTTTTTGGCATTTATCCTACTTGGTGTTCTCTGAGCATCCTGAATCTGTGGTTTGATGCTTGATATTAATTTGGGGAAATTCTTAGTCATTATCGCTTAAAAGTTCAGGTTTTTATTTTACTGTTAAGATGGAGTGGTGACTTCCAGCTTCTCAGTGCCAGACCAGAAACCAGAAATGTGTCTGATAACATTTTATTGAATGCCAGATACTGTGTTTTACTTTGTTGAGTGTTGGCTATATTAAAAACATTTTCAGTGTTGGGGTGCCTGGGTGGCTCAGTCAGTTGGGTGTCCAACTCTCAGTTTTGGCTCAGGTCATGATCTCAGGGTTGTGGGATCAAGCCCCACATTGGGCTCCACACTTAGCTTGGAGTCTGCTTGTCCCTCTTTCTCCCCCTCTGCCCTACTCCTTCACTCTTGAGCTCTCTAATAAATAAATACATAAAATCTTTTTAAAATATATTCTTCAGGGGCACCTGGGTGGCTCAGTTGGGTGTCTGCCTTCAGCTCAGGTCATGATCTCAGAGTCCTGGGATTGAGCTCCGTATTGGGCTCCCTGCTCACTGGGGAGTCTGCTTCTCCCTCTCCCTCAGCCCCTGCTCATGCTTGCTCACCCTCTCTCAAAGAAATAAATAAAAACCATTAAAATAATTCTTCAGTGTTGTCTGAGATGCAGTTACTTGGAAAACAGTTTGATCCTTTCAGTTCTTGTTTTTAATTTTGTTAGGTGACACAAAAGCCTCATTTAGGCTAATTATGCTCTGAAGCAAAAACCCTTCTGAGTACTGTGTCCATGCTCCACGAAATATGAGGTTTTCTACACCGGCTGAGAACTGCAAGCTCCAGGGATTGTTCAGATGGCTCTTTTCCCTGCCTCCAGGGGCTTTCTGGCATACATGTTATCAAGTAGTCTACTGAAGACTCCAGGAGGGTTCTCTGTAGCTTTCTTGAAGCTCTCTTGAAGCTTTCTCTCTGTATTCCCCTGATATTCTGCTATGCAAGCTCCAGCTCTCTTGGTCTTGGGTTTCCAGTTCTATCTCAACTCAGAAAGACTTCTGAATTTCATCTGGACTCCTCCTCCTTATACTGTAACCTGGAAATTCTCTCCAGGCAGTATCTAAGTATCTAAGGAAATTGTGAGGCCACCTCACTTGTTTCCTGGGGTGGAACAATTTATGCACCAAAATGGGAATGACAGTGTGGCAGACAAAATAATGTCTCCCTAAAATGCCTAGAACTTATGAATGTTATATATAAAGGGTATTTTGCAGATGTGATTAAGTTCAGGATCTTTAGATAGGATGGTTACTCTGGATTTTTTGTATGAGCCCAACCTAGTTACGGGGGACCTTTTAAGAGGGACATAGGAGTATAAGAATCAGAGATATGATGACAGAAGCAGGTGAGAGAGATTTGAAGATGTTATACTCTTAGTTTTGAATATGGAGGAAGGGCCCTCAAGCCAAGGAAAAGTAGGCAGTCTCTAGTAGTTGGAAAAGACAAGGGATTCTCCCCTGGAGTCTCCACAAGGAATGCAGCCCTACCAACATCTTGATTTTATCCCCATAAGGTTTAATCTATTTAGAATTTGACCTCCAGAACTCTAATAAATTTAATGGTGTTTTAAGCCACTAAATTTGTGATAATTTGTTACAGCGGCAGTAGGAAACTAATATAATCACCAAATAGAAGCATGAAATATGATTAGAAAATAACAGTTTGTGGGGAACCATGGGTGGCTCAGCAGTTTGGTGCCTGCCTTTGGCCCCGGGCGCAATCCTGGAGTCCCAGGATCGAGTCCCGCGTGGGGCTCCCGGCATGGAGCCTGCTTTTCCCTCCTCCTGTGTCTCTGCCTCTCTCTCTCTCTCCCTATGTCTATCATAAATACTAAATAAATAAATCTTTAAAAAAAGAAAATAACAGTTTGTGAAGACATCACGACAGTGAAAGAACTCTTATTTGGATTTGAGAAAACTAGGATCTTTGCTATCTTGACATCTTTATTCATGATATGCAAGTATGGCTACATTAAACCCAGACCAAAGTATCAGTTGTCCCCCTTGCCCCCCAAAAAGAGAAACATTTTAAAAGAAAAAAATATACCAGTATCTAGAAACTACCTATTGTCACTAACAAAGGTGTATGTTCACTCTGTATTGAGTCAATAATGTGTACTTCTAGATAATTTTATAAACAGGATTCCCTTATTCTATAAGGGAATAATGGTGGAAGTCGTAAAAGAGAGACAGCAAATCCATATTAGAATCAATGACATTTATGGAAGATAATACATGCCAGACACATTAGGAAGTTTGGGCAGTTTCATATGGGCACAAAACGAAATGAAAACAGTAGATTCTAAAAAATTATCAGCTGCTGCTGAATAGCTAACCACATGATACCATCAATAATTTGACTCAGCTGGCCACATCTGTCAATGCATTTGTTATGACCAACTATATAGTACATAATAAACAAATACCTGGATCTCCAAACATTTCCATATTGGCCTTAAGGAATAATTCCACATGGAGCACCTTAGCAATATAATCCTACCATTATTTGTGAGCAAAAGCCAACCACTGCATTCAGTGCCAGAAGCAGTATTATAACAGCTACACAGAGACTGTAGTTCCAAGATTAGTTTGTTAAGTAATTCTAGTAAGTCAGTAAGACAGATCAATGGTGAAGAAATTCATTGGTGAAGTTCCAGTCTTACAAAATACTTCATGGTTGGAAAAGATTATTTTACTAAATTCCAAACATTTATTCTCATTTACAGGTAGGGAACTAAAACACATTACGTTCTCTTCAGAATATAAGACTCTATTATTCTCTTCAATTTCAGGTAGAAAGAACTACATCAGTTTAGATCAGTTTCTTTAAAAAAAAAAAAAAAGATTTTATTTATTTACTCATGAGAGACCAAGAGAGAGGCAGAGGCAGAGACACAGGCAGAGGGAGAAGCAAGCTCCATGCAGGGAGCCTGATGCAGGACTCAATCCCAGGACCCTGGGGTCATGCCCTGAGCCGAGGTCAGATGCCCAACCAGAGCCACCCAGGCGTCCCTAGATCAGTTTCTTTAGCAAGATTACAAATCTCAAGAATCTTCCATTCTACTTCCTTATACTTTTCTCTATTTTTCAAAATGTGTAATGTATTAAATAGGATTAATGACTTACACAGGAGACAAGTTATTTTTCTCACATAAAGGCCAGGGGTAGGTGGTTGCTTGCAGTGCCTTCTCTGCCTGAACAGCAGCAGCAGTCACAGGTTTGGAAGGACATTCACACTCACAAGACCCAATTGGCCTAATGGGACTGAATCCAGCACCAGATTAACTTAACTTTATAGGAAACAACACAGCAGCACAAGGCTTGTTTCAACAGGAGGCTTTACTCTGGCACCAAGTGTCAGTGCAGATATAAGGAAAGGAGATCATTAGGGTGGGTGCAGATGCTACGCTGGCTTAGAAACTTCAGGCTTTCCAAGAAGCAACATCTCTTGAAACAGCCATGAGTGTAGCTTTCAGGATTCTTAGTAATAAGAAACACAATATTTGACACATCTGGCTGGCTCAATCAGTAGAGCATGCAACTCTTGATCTCAGGGTTGTGATTTCAAGCACCATGTTGGGCATGGAGCCTACTTAAAAAAATACAAACAAAATACACAGTGCTTAAGTAGGTCCAAAGTCCACATTTTCCAAAGGGCATTTAGAGCTGCCGTAGTCTTCCTGGTCCATACAGTTTACCAATAAGGGGGTCTTTTTTTTTTTTTAAGTAGGCTCCATGCACAGCGTGGAGCCCAACTCAGGGCTTGAACTCACAACCCTGAGATCAATACCTGAGTTGAGATCAAGAATTGGATGCTTAACCAACTAAGCCACCCAGGCACCCCAATAAGGGGTCATTTTTAATCACAATACTGCCTGACATCACAGTTGACATTCTCTTATTACCTTCTCTAGTAGATTTCTAGAGAAACATGGCTAAAAGGTAAACTTGAAGTCCTTTTACAAGGGAGAAAAAGAAAGGGTTTTATTATTAACCTTCTTTATTCTTGGCAAACCAGGGCAGCATCATATGAGGATCCAATCTTATATCTTGTTGCTCTGTCACTCACGGCTTCTATTTCCAAGGTTTCTTTACCGTCCAGAAAGCCTGCTGAAACTCTAGCTACCACATCCATGTTCCAGCAGGAAAAAAGAGAAGATGAACTGACTCATCTCCCTTTATGCCTTAAGGTTTAAGGAAGCTTTCTAGAACCATCCACCACTCAACACTTAAAATTCCCACGTCACTGGCCAGAACTTAGTCATATGGCCACATATATACATATGTACACATATATGGGCACATTGCTAACTTGAATAATTCTGGGATTATTAACAAAACAAAGAAAGAACAAATACTAGGTCAGGTAATGAGCAAGATGGGTCAGAGATAACGATAATGGAAGAATCAAGAGATTTACTGGCTTAGAAAAGGACCATAGACCAAGGAATGTAGGCAGCCTCTAGAAGCTGGAAATGGCCTTCAGATGACAGTAAGAAAATGGGACACTGATCCTTCAATGGCAAAGAATTAAAATCTGCCAACAACTAAACAGGGAAACAGTCTCCCCACCCCTAACCTCCAGAAAAGAATGAAGTCCTGCCAATACCTTGATTTTAGCCCAGGCCATGTGAGACAGCTGACTTACAAAACTGTTAATATACTTGTGTCATTTTAAACTGCTAAGTTTGTAGTAATTTGTGACGGTTGCAATAAAAAAACTTATATACTTACCTTAATAAAACTTTCAATTTAAAGGGCTTATCAGAGAAGGGTCCCTATAGTCATTTATAGCAGATTTTTAAAAATTCAATTTGGATCTTGTCCTTAATGACTCTGGTATATTAAACTGTGTTATAATCAGAAATGCACGTATAGCCAATAAAACTAGTAAAATAGTGAACAACTGAAAGCTACACAATTCTTTTATATCAAAAATCCAAACAAAAAGTTCATGACTAGTTATAATGAGAAACATTTCATCTAGGAGAGATTTCTAAGGTAGTATCTTGAGTTTCCATAAAAACATAACTGTCTGTCTCAGAGGAAGGGATATCATCAAGAAGAGGACCAGAATTGTCTACTTCCAAGTTCAGTGATTTCCCCTGTTCATAACCCAAGCTTGAATTATCTTTCATTTGAATCTCTTCCTCTTCCAACTCCAAAGATTTATCTGAGGCTGGAGCTCCAATATCGTCATCTTCATTTTCATGCAGAAAGCTACATATCATGTTGGGTCTATAGGAGAAATCATTGTCCTTGATTTGCAGCCATTCCACACCACCTAACGAGGGATGGTGAGGGATAGGAGGACAAACCAAGAAAGAAGTATGAAAAAGGAATTTCAGTTACTTTACCTATATTTCCCTTTATTTTAATTTTTTTTTTAAGTAGGGTCCATGCTTAGTGTGGAACCCAATTCAGGGCTTGAACTCACGACATTGAGATCAAGACCTGAGTTGAGATCAAGAGTCAGACACTCAATCAACTGAGCCACTCAGGCACACCTCTCTTTAAATTTTCATCCTATGAATACATGTCATAATAAAACCCCAACATAAACCAATGAACATGGTGCCATAACTACTGAAAAACGATCACATTATTTCCATCTTACATGGAGACCCTGGAATGTCTATACTGTATGCAACATCAAAATTACTTTAAGTGAAAAACAAGAAACAGAAACACAAAATCACTACAAGTGAAATCTAGTCAATAATATTGTAGTAACTATATGGTAACTGATGGTTACCTACACTTATGGTGAGCATTTTGTAATGCATATAATTATTAAATCACTATGTTGTACACCTGAAACTAATATAATACTGTATTCTCAATTATACTTCAATTAAATTTAAGATTTTATTTATTCATTAAAGAGAGACACCAAGCACAGGATGGGGGAGGGGCTGAGGAAGAGGGAGAAGCAGACTCCCTGCTGAACAGGGAGCCCGACTCGGCTCAATTCCAGGACCCCAGGGATCATGACCTGACCTAAAGGCAGATGCCTGGGACGCCTGGGTGGCTCAGCGGTTGAGCATCTGCCTTTGGCTCAGGTCGTGATCCCGCTGTCCCAGGATCGAGTCCTGCATTGGGCTCCCTGCATGGAGGCTGCTTCTCGCTCTGCCTGTGTTTTCTGCCTCTCTCTCTCTGTGTCTCTCATGAATAAATATCTTGAAAAAAAATAAAGGCAGATGCTTAACTGACTGAACCACCCAGGTCCCCCTCCAAAGAATTCAGACCATAAAAAAAAAAAAAAATCACTAAAAGTAATCAACTTCAATTACTATTCCAAATTCCTTTTCCAGAGTCCAGTTCCCAACTCAGAGATAATCTGAGCTCTTACTGCACCTTATGCCTTATAGAAAAGTCTGTCACTTCCCTATAATTTTCTCCTCAGTTTGCATAATAGATGATACTACCCTATCATCTTTCTTTTCCCCCCATCACCTTTCAACTCAACACCCACATGTCATTTTAAGTTAGAACATCCAACTATGGGATCCCTGGGTGGCTCAGCGGTTTAGCGCCTGCCTTTGGCCCAGGGCGCGATCCTGGAGCCCCGGGATCGAATCCCACATCGGGCTCCTGGTGCATGGAGCCTGCTTCTCCCTCTGCCTGTGTCTCTGCCTCTCTCTCACTGTGTGCCTATCATAAATAAATAAAAATTTAAAAAAAAAAAAGAACATCCAACTATGAAATAAAACACCTCCCAACAAAAAGAAAGAAACTTGAAAAACATTGTTATCCTTTTCATACTTACAGCCCTAGTCTAACAAAGAACTTTCACAAACAAGAATGGCACTCAGTGGGCAGTCTGCTTCCCGACACTCTCCCTCCCTCCAACTCTTGGTTTCAGCTCAGGTCATGACCTCAGGGTTGTAGGATTGAGCCCTGTATTCAGGCTCTGCACTCAGTGTAAAGTCTGTTTGAGATTCTCTCCCTCGGGGCACCTGGGTGGCTCAGTTGGTTAAGCATCTGCCTTCAGCTCAGGTCATGATCCCAGGGTCCTGGGATCGAGCTCCATATCAGGCTGTCTGTTCAGCAGGAAGCCTGCTTCTCCTTCTCCCTGCCATTTGCCCTGCTTGTGCTCTGTATCACATAAACAAATAAAATCTTAAAAAAAAAAAAAGATTCTCTCCCTCTCCTTATCCTTCCCCTTCTACCCGTGAGCACACTAAAATAAGTAAATAAAATCTTAAAAATAATAATGCTAGTCATTTCTTCTTTCATCCATATGAACCTTTCAGTCAAATATTTTCAATGGATCCTCATTAATTTGTATAGCAAGCCTGAACTATTCATTGTCATGTTCAAAATTCCACTAGATAGGGGATCCCTGGGTGGCTTGGTGGTTTAGCGCCTGCCTTGGGATCAGGGTGTGATCCTGGAGTCCTGGATCGAGTCCCACATTAGGCTCCCTGCATGGAGCCTGCTTCTCCCTCTGCCTGTGTCTCTGCCCCACCCCCTCTGTCTCTCATGAATGAATTAAAAAAAAAAAAAACTTAAAAAAAAAATAGAATCTTAAAAGAATTCCATTAGATAGCTCTAATATACAGCAATTTATCTTGCCACCCTGTTCCCCACCGTAAACTCTTCTGTGACTGCTGAAACCTCCTTATAGCTGATGCCATGTCTTCTCAAATGTTATTTCCATAAAATCTCCTTCTATCAAAAGTTGACTGGTCCTTTTCTCTCCAGTCGGCATCAACTATTCTTTCATTTTCCCCCCCTGCAACAGCATCATTTACCTAGTCGCCGGATTCAAAACCTTGACGCCATCCTGCAGCTTATTTTGCTATTTAGCATAATATGTGTCACATACCAGATACTTAAAATAAATGGAATGAAATGGGTGTTGAGTCACATTCATACATGTGTTTCAATGTGATTTACTTTAGAGTGCAAATTCCCAGAAGGTGAGGACCACATCTCTTGCTAGTTTTTTCTGCCGGCAGCATACTGCCATGTTCCGTTAACAACCGCCAACACGGCCCCCACAGAACTTCACTTTCCTGGTATTCGTGCCCCTATGTCATCTCCTCCCACAACGAACAGCACATGGCAGAAATGCCAGACTGTGACTTCTAGGCTGGCTCATAGAAGATACCATGGCTTCTACCTTGTCCCAATCACTTGACCTGGGAGAAGCTGGCTACCATGTCCGGGGGTGCTCTCACAGTACTGTGGGGACGCAACAAACGGAGGCCTCCCGCTGAAAGCTGACATAGCCTACCAAGCATGTGAGGGAGCCGTCCTCTGTATTTCCAGATCACCGCAGCCCAGCCAACGTATTGACTGCAACCTTAAGACAGAAATCGAGCCAGAACTGCCTGGCTAAGCTGATCCCAAATTCGTGAGTCCTGGTAAAATATTTTTGTTATTTTTTTAAACCATTTAAATTTAGGGGCACCTGGGAGGCTCAGCAGTTGAGCATCTGCCTTCAGCTCAGGGTGTGACCCCAAGGTCCCAGGATCGAGTCCCACATCAGGCTCCCTGCAGGGAGCCTGCTTCTCCCTCTGCCTGTGTCTCTGCCTCTCTCTGTGTCTCTCATGGAAAAATAAATAAAAATTAATTAATTAATTAAAAAGTTTAGAGGTAATTTTTTATGCAGCAATATATCCTTGAACAGATGGCTAATGAATTTATGTAATTAAACACAATACCCAAATCTTCCCAAAGACCTATTAGATTATTAAAGACTACTGGACAGTAAATTCTACAACTTCCTTCTTCAAAAAAGAATATCTAAATAATAACTAAGCTACCTGATATGTAGCTACCTTTCAAGTTCATTCTAGAACTTCAAGTACCTCTTTTCTCCTGTTATTGCAGAGTGCTAAAAAGGAGATAAGTTTTGGGATATACATGTTAAGAACAAAGATTTTTTTATGCACTTATGTGTAATTGGTATAATTAACTTCTACATGATTAATATACCTTCACATGTTTATTCCTTAAAATACAATAAATCAAACCATAAATACTCATCACTAGAATCAGTCATGTCAACTAGAGTTTGAAATATGTCTTTGAGCAATGAGGGTTTTTTTTTCAAATTATGTGACTTTCTAAAAATTGAAGTATAGCTGAGGGGCACCTGGGTGGCTCACTCGGTTAGGTGTCTGACTTTGGCTCAGGTCGTGATCTCTGGGTCCTGGGACAGAGCCCCATGTCTGGCTCCCCACTCAGTGGGGACTTTGCTTCCTCTCTCCCCATCTCTTTGCCCCTCCCCTGCTTATCCTCTGTCTCTCTTTCTCGAATAAATAAAATCTTAAAAAAAAAATTGAAGTATAGTTGATACACAATGTGACATTAGTTTCAGATGTACAAAGTAGTGATTTGAAAAGTCTATACATTATGCTATGCTTATCGCAACTTAACAACCATCTGTCACTACACAACACTATTACAATACCAGAGACTGTACTTCCTAAGCTGTACAATTCCCATAACTCACTCATGCATAACTGGAAGCCAGTTATCTCCCACTTTCTTTCAACCATTTTGCCCATCTCACCACTCCCTCCTCTCTGGCAACCATCAGTTTGCTGTCTGTATTTATAGATCTGTTTCTGCTTTTTGTTTATTTGTTTTGTTTTGTATATTCCACATAAAAGTGAAATCATACATTTGTCTTTCTCTTATTTCACTATGAGCAATGAGCTTTTTAAACTAGCAAGTGATTATTTATCTCCACAAAAATGTGCCTGCTATGGGTGCAAGAAGCATAGTCTAAAGTCTCTACTTTGGGATAACCAGCAACTGGAGAGGGCTCAGTGGATGCAAATTAAGAGTGGAACTCATCAGATCCAACAACTGTGGTCCTAGAGTCCCACCCTCACATATGAAGCCAGCTTCTTCTAGTCTTCCCCAAGACTTCCCCAAGAAGAAGACTTCTTCCCCAAGAAGATTGCCACTACTGCCACAAATTTTCAGGAGATTCTCTGGGGTTACACTTGAAAATCCAATCCTATCATCTCCACTTACAAAAAGTTTTAATTGGGACGCCTGGGGGCTCAGTGGTTGAGCATCTGCCTTGGGCTCAGGGCGTCATCCCAAAGTCCCAGGATCAAGTGCCTGCATTGGGCTCCCTGCATGGAGCCTGCTTCTCCCTCTGCCTATGTCTCTGCTTCTCTCTGTGTCTCTCGTGAATAAATAAAATCTTAAAAAAAAAGTTTTAATTAAGGGGGTAAAGGAGTGGTAGCTACTGAATTCTCTAGGGCTTGGAAATCTATCAAGTTTCTTGACAAACTCACAAACATTTCTAATGCAAAGCAAGTAAGAGATTTCCTACATGTCTCCAGTGCCCTCTGCTACACTAGAGTTCAAATGACTTTTATCTTTTTTTTTTTTTAAGTAGGCTCCATGCCCAGAGTGGAGCCCTATATGGGGCTTGAACTCACAACCATGAGATAAAGACCTGAACTGAGATCAAGAGTCAGGTGCTAATCCAACTGAGCTACCCAGGCACCCCTACAGTTCAAATGAATTTTAAATCTATATCTGGTACTTTTCATGGAGCACTCTCAATTTTCATATTACATAGTTGTCACTACAAAGTAGAAGGAATGTCCTGGCAGCAATGTGTCATTGTCAAAGCCAAGAGTAAATCACCTATTTTCAGAGAACTAAGTGAACTAACCTACACTTTCTTCTCCTTCTTTCTTTTCTGTCAGAAGAGTTCTTGTCATGCTGAGCTTCTTCATTGTATGGCATTTATATTTTAGTACCGTTTTACTACTGCCTTCTGCATCACCTAGAATATAAATTGAAAGGAATTGTTTTACTGTTGATGCCATCAAATCATCATGTTAAGCTTCAAGAGTTCCAGTTCATGGAGTTACACTAAATTACTTACTATCAAGATAGTGTAGTAAGTTCAAGATTTAACTCAACCCCCTGCTCCCAACACAGAGAAATGACAGATAAAATACATAACAACTAGGCAGCCCAAGTGGCTCAGCGGTTTAGCACCGCCTTCAGCCCAGGGCGTGATCCTTGAGACCCGGGATCGAGTCCCACATCGGGCTCCCTGTGTGGAGCCTGCTTCTCCCTCCACCTCTCTGTGTGTGTGTGTGTCATGAATAAATAAATAAAATCTTTAAAAAAAAATGCATAACAACTGAATGCACAGCTGGACCCCAAAACAACAAACCTCACCAGAGGACCAAAACACAAAGGTGTGAGTGAAATTAAATCTACCAACCCGCTAGGCTCCAGCCTGAAGTAAAGAAGTGGGACCAGGAATTTGGCCTTACAAGGTAATGAGATCTCAAATTCTACCACTCAAAACGAAGCACCAAAGTCAGACTTACTACCTGAGACTGGAGTCAGGACATTCTCAATCACAAAAGAAGGCAGAGAAAAAAAACCTGCCAACCCTGCTGCCTGGGGTTACAGCTTTATAGGAAACCATGGGTACAGGCAGGAAAGAGGACAAGGCTTTGAGCTACAGGTGTGAAGCACACTGAAAATTCCCACAGGCTACTATGTGTCACTGATACGACACGAGAAAGGATCAGTGCACTACCTATTAGTTTGAGCCACAGGGAACTGGTCATATTCAGTTCAAATCTGTCACTTCATATGGTCAAACCTAATACTCAGTAATCTAGTAATTCCATTTCTAAGTTTATATCTTAGAGACATTTTTGCACACATGCACAAAGAGACACAAAAATACTCATGGCAACATTTTTGCAGTGTGTTAATAAGCATAGTCACACACTGAGCGGGGGCACCTGACGGGATGAGCACTAGGTGTTATGCTATATGTTGGCAAACTGAACTCCAATAAAAAAAAATAAAAAATTAAAAAATTAAAAGCATAAGCATAGTCACAGGCTCTGGACTAGACTGCCTGGGTTCAAATCCTGACTCTGTCTCTTACTTCATGTATGACCTTGGGAATGTTATTTACCTCTCTGTGCTTCAGTTTCTTCAAACATAAAATGAAGACAACAATGGTATCTATCCCACAGACTTGTGATGAGGATTAAATGAGTTAATACATGTAGCATTTGGAACAAAGCCTTACATATAGAAGGCATTCAATAAATTTTTGTAGTTATTAATAATTACTGGTAAAAATGAGGCAATCAACATATCAATAACTGGAGATTAAATTTTGTGGTATTGTCACAAAAGAATACTAAGCAACAGGGAAAACAGAATTCTACATACTAACATGCATAAAATCTCAAAATCTATCTCTAACTGAAAAAAAAAATACACAATGAGGGCAGCCCCCGGTGACGCAGTGGTTTGGCGCCACCTGCAGCCTGGGGTGTGATCCTGGAGACCAGGGATCGAGTCCCACATCGGGCTCCCTGCGTGGAGCCTGCTTCTCCCTCTGTCTGTGTCTCTGCCCCTCTCTGTGTCTATGAATAAATAAAATCTATAAAAAAAAATACACAATGATACATATAATATGCTATAGTTTATATCAACTTTGAAAATACACAAAGAGGTGCTGTTCATTGTGGATACATATACTTGTAATACAAAATCAGGTATAGGAAAGAAAAACATCAAATTCAGGGGAGTGATTATCAAGACAGAGAAAGGGAGTATGTTTAGAGGGGGTATACATGAGGCTTCAAATGGATCTGCAACGTTTTTTAACTATTTGGCAAAATGATAGGATTTGATATAGCTAGACAATGGGCACATGAGATGCTTACTTTTAATATTCACTGTACAAAAGTAAGTTTGCATATTTCATAGAAAAAAAGATTTGAGGGAAAAAAAAGAAAAAAGATTTGAGTCAGCAGTCTAAGCACTTACCATGTTCAACATTTTCTTCAAATATAACACAGGTCCCAAGAGTGTCTGCAGAGGGTTAAAGGCAACTTGTTGAGAATTACGAGTTAACTTTCTCTGATAAAGCATATTAAAAAAAGGAGTTTCATCTATCTGACATCCTCCTACCTTCATACTCTCCAGCAAAGACATAGTTGTCCACTTGCAGAATGGGCCTCTCGGTGTCAACTCCCTACAACAGAATACAGGATAATTTAAAAAATCATCATTAAAGACACCTAGGTGGCTTAGCAGTTAAGCATGTCTGCCTTCAGCTCAGGACATGATCCTGGGGTCCCGGGATGGAGTCCCACGTCGGGCTCCCTGCATGGAGCCTCCTTCTCCTTCTGCCTGTGCCTCTGCCTCTCTCTCTCTCTCTCTCATGAATAAATAAATAAAATCTTAAAAAAATAATACTAATCATTACAAAAAGCCTTGCAGGGGCACCTCAGTGGCTCAGTTGGCTAAATGATCTCAGGGTCGTGAAATCCAGCCCCACATTGGGTTCTGTGCCGGCATAGAGCCTGCTTAGGATATTTCCTCTCTCCCTGCCTTTGCCCCTCTCCCCCTTTCCGTCTCTAAAAAACCAAGAAACCTTAGAGGGTTGAGTGAAATGGGTGAAGGTACTTATTTTATAACTGAAAGTTTGTATCTTTTGACTAAGTCCTGGGGATGTGGCATACCTCAACACTTTACTTAATACCACAGAGTACATTTAAAAGTTGCTAAGAGAGGGATGCGTGGGTGGCTCAGCAGCTGAGCCTCCTCTCAGGGCGGGAGTTCCAGGAGTTCCAGGATCGAGTCCCTAGTCCCACACCTGGCTCCCTGCAGGAAGCCTGCTTCTCCCTCTGCCTGTGACTCTACCTCTTTTCTCACAAATAAACAAAATCTTATAAAAGGGGGGGGGGGATTATCTGTGCAACAACAAAAAAAAAGTCGCTAAGGGTAAATCTTAGAAGTTATTACAACAGAGGGCCCGGCTAGCTGTTTGTAGAGCATGCGACTCTTGATTTCAGAGTTGTGAGTTCAGCCCCACGTTGGGCACAGACCTTACTTAAAAAAAAAAAAAATTACAAGAAAAAAATTTTAATTTTTTTCTTAAGATTTTATTCATTTATTCAGGAAAGACACACAGAGAGGTAGAGACACAGGCAGAGGGAGAAGCAGGCTGCACACAGGGAGCCCAATGTGGGATCCCAGGTCTCCAGGATCACACCCCGGGCTGCAGGCGGCGCCAAACAGCTGCGCCACGGAGGCTGCCTGAAAAAACAATTTTAACATGTGTAGTGATGGATGTTTAACTAGACTTAATGCAATGACTGTTCCCTCAGTACATACAACTATTAAATCCTGATGTTGTACACTTGAAACAATGTTTTTGTTTTGTTTTGTTTCATTTTTTTATTCATGAGAGACACAGAAAGAGAGAGTCAGAGACATACAAAGAGAGAAGCAGGCTCCTTTGCAGGGAGTCCATTGTGGGACTCCATCCTGTGACTCCAGGATCACGCCCTGAGCCAAAGGCAGGTGCTCAACCACTGAGCCACCCAGGCATCCCAAAACAATGTTATATGTCAATTAGATCTCAATTAAAACAAAATTGAGTCTTCAATATGTAACTTTGCTTCCAAGGAGAGGGATCTCCAAAACTGGGAAACCTCTGGAGCTTGTCCTTGCAAGGGCGACAGAAGCTAAAAATGCTCTGATCACAGTGGCTACAACCTGAAGGATACTTAATTCATATCCAAGTAGCCAGCTGTATTTCCATCAACATTCTCTTCAAGTGGGACCCCCGGGGTGCCTCAGCGGTTGAGCATCTGTCTTTGGCTCAGGGCGTAACCCTGGGGTCCCAGGATCGAGTCCCACATCGGGCTGCCGGTGCATGGAGCCTGGTTCTCCCTCTGCCTGTGTCTCTGCCTCTCTCTCTCTCTCTCTGATGAATAAATAAATAAAATCTAAAAAAATTAAAAAAAAACTAATTTTCAAAGGGCATAAGCTCTAAGCCATGAAGGCAATACTATGTCTCCTTTCCTCCTAAGGGAATGGTTTTCTAGTTTGTATGCTATGTTTTAATATTAAAATTACTTTGCAGATTGTGTATACACGTTTTTGTAAATACATGGAGTATCTCTGAAAGGATCGGTAAGAAACTGGTAAAATTCGTTGTCTATGGGAAGGGGATGAAGGGGAACAGGGATGGAAACTTACTTCTTACTCTATATCCTTTTTTACTCTACATCCTTTTGTAAATTGTTCAAAATAAAAAAAATTAGGTCATAAATAGTACGATAACCTTGACTAGAAGTATGAGGTTTATCTGAAGAGGACTTCTTGGATTATTACATTGACCATAAAACACACATATTCTTGGGGCACCTGTGTGGCTTAGTAGGTTAAGTGTCTGCCTTTGTTTGGGTCATGATCCTAGGGTCCCGCGTCGGGCTCTCTGCACGGAGCCTCTCTCTCTCTCTCTGTGTGTGTCTCTCATAATTAAATAAAATCAAGAAAGAAAAGAAAGAAAAAGAAAGTGTGCAGAAAGCCCCCCCCCCGCCCCGCAATTCTAGAAGACTCACCAAAATCTTGCATTTATTTTCACATTTTGATAGAAAGTCTGAATCAATAATTCCGGACAGCTCCACCAGAACCAACTGCTCCTGGGGGGACAAAGCGGGGTCACCGCGCCGCCCGGGGGCGCGCACGCGCAGTCAGCGCCGACGCCCCGCACCCCCTGGGCGGCGACCCCGACTCGGGAACCCCGGGCCGCGCTCGCACCGACAGGCGGCCGGCGACCTTTCTCACCTGAGGTAACTGCCTCTCCTTCCCCCATCGCAGCACCGCGGGCAGCCAGGGCCGAGGCCGGCGGCGGTCCGGGGCCCCCAGTCCCGCCAGCCGCACCCCGACTCCCTGCCCCACACGCCGCCCCCGCCGCGCGGGCCGCCGCCGCGCCACTCACGGCTTCCTCCTCGTCCTCGTCCGCGTCCTCCGGGATCCGCTCCTCCACCGCCGCCATTGTCCCGCGCCTTCCCGGAACCTCCGCGGCCCCGGCCACGCCCCTCCGCGGCCGCCATCTTGGGTGCGGGCAGCAGCCGACCCGGGCCGGAGGCTGCTGCGGCCCCGCGGACGGCTGCTGCCAGGACGCGAGATGGCGGCGCCGGGGCCTCCTCCTCGGCCCGTGCCGGGAGCGGGACGACTGTGGCTGTGGTGGCGGCCGGGCCGGGCAGGCCTGTGCGCGAGGACACCGTCGGGGCCACCGGCCCGGGGTGGGGGAGAGGGCTGTGGAGGGACGGAGGACCAGGAAGGTGCGAGCGGGCGGCCGCGGGGCTCAGCGGCTGAGCGGCGCCTTCGGCCCAGGGCGTGACCCCGGGGTCCCGCGATCGAGTCCCGCGTCAGGCTCCCGAACGGAGCCTGCTCCTCCCTCCGCCTGGGTCTCTGTCTCTCTCTGTCTCTCGTGATTAAACAAATAAAATCTTAAAAAAAAAAAAAAAGAATTAGAAGAAGGTGCAAGCAAGGAGGCCGCCGGTTGAGAGGAAGGCGAAGAGGCCTCGCCTTGGCCCTGACTCAACATTGCTGGGGAAGAAAAAAAAATTTTTTTAAATTAAAAATTTGCATATAAAAAATAAAAATAAATAAAAAATTGCGTATATTTACTCACGAGAAAGAAGCAGAGACCCAGGCAGAGGGAGAAGAGCAGGCTCCGTGCGGGGAGCCCAACGCGGGACTCGAACCCGGGACCCTGGGGTCACGCCCTGGGTCGGAGGCGGCGCTAAACCGCCGAGCCCCCGCCGCGGGCTGCCCAAGAACTCCTCACTACCCCGTGAGCGCCGCTCCTCAATCCAAGTTCTCCTTGACCCGAGTCAAGGGCCCCTTCAAGGGTAGAGGATGTAAGGAGGGCGGAGAGCGGAGGCCTGCCAGCTGGGGACCAGGAGGGGGAGAAAGAGACCCACCAGTGCCGCCCTAGGGGCTGTAATCCCGGGGGAGGGGAGCCTCGAACGGAATCTGCTTACACTCCAGGGGTGCCCCGATCGTGAAGTCCGTGACCTCTGTACGCGAGACGGATGATCTAGCTCCAAAGCGCACGAGCTTTGGGGTCGGATCCGGGGCCAGTTCAGCTGCATTGTTAGCAGCGAGGTCTCAGGCGGGTTGGTTAGTGCCGGGGATGAAATGACGTGATACGTGTAAAATAGATTTCGCCCGCTATCTGGCACACAGTAAGCATTTAACGTGGGTTTTATCTCTTAGTAGTGATATACAAAATTGTATAGAGTATTGACTTCTAGTGTGCGTGCTGCCAGAGCGAACACTGCAGTATTGACTCTTAAAAAACACTTTGCACGTATCCTTCCAGCTTCTTTCTACACATACTGTATTTTATTTATTTATTCGTGAGAGACAGAGAGAGAGAGAGGCAGAGACATAGGCAGAGGGAGAAGCAGGCTCCCTGCAGGGAGCCTGATGTGGGTGGGACTCAATCCCGGGACCCCGGGGTCATGCCCTGGGCCAAAGGCAGACACTCAACCGCGGAGCCACCCGGGCTGCCATATACATACTTTTATCATTATTTTTTAAGATTTTTATTTATTAGTTTATTCAAGAGAGACACAGGCAGAGGGAGAAGCAGGCTCCCTGCGGGGACCCCTATGTGGACTCGACCCCAGGACTCCAGGGTCACGCCCTGGGCCGAAGGCAGCCGCCCAACCGCTCCCTGAGCCGTCGAGGTGTCCGTCTACACTTAACTTTAAGTGTTATATTTATACCTCTGTTTTTAGCTTGCTTTTCTCACTATATACAGTATCATGGATGTTTTTCCAAGTTCTCCATGGTAAATGCAGATCTGCATCATAGTTTTTAGCAACCGTGTAGTATTTATTGTGTAATATTATTTCCCAACACTTGCATGGCCTGGCTGGCTCAGTTGGTAGAGCATTCGACTCTTGAATTCAGGGTTTTAAGTTCCAGCCCCACCTTGGGTGTAGAGATTACTTAAAATATTTAAAAAGTATATATTACACAACATTTTAGTAAACATCTTTGTGCATTTTTACACAGTTGCCCCATTAGAGAAATAGGAGTCCATTGCTAAAAAGAAAGAAAGAAAGAAAGAAAGAAAGAAAGAAAGAAAGAAAGAAAGAAAGAAAGAAAGAAAAGGTAGAGCACTTAACCTGCTGGAAATTGTAGATTTAAATTCTAGCTCTGAAGTGTCATAATTATGATCTGGGACAAGCTGCTACGCTTTCTAAGCTTCGGTGTCTTTATTTATTAGATGAAGATTAAGATATTTATATTTACTGTATATTTTCCATTTGAAGATCAGATTGTGTTGTATCTATAAGTGCTTTCTTCGTAAACAAAACCTACACAACTTGTCAGATTTTATTGGGGTAAAGGAGAAGATAAAGAGAAGGACAATCCAAGTTGAGGGAACAGCAGTCATAAAGGCTTGAGGAATGAGAATATGCGTGCGTGTGTGTTTTTTTAAAGATTTTATTTATTTATTTGACAGCACAAGCAGGGGGAGCAGCAGGCAAAGGGAGAGGGAGACGAAGCAGGCTCCTGGGTAATCAGGGAGTCTGACTCGGGGTCCATCCTAGGACCCGGAGATCATGACCCAAACAAAGGCAGACACTTAACCTGCTAAGCCACACAGGTGCCCCAAGAATATGTGTGTTTTATGGTCAATGTAATAATCCAAGAAGTCCTCTTCAGATAAACCTCATACTTCTAGTCAAGGTTATTATCGTACTATTTATGACCTAATTTTTTTTTATTTTGAACAATTTAGAAAAGGATGTAGAGTAAAAAAGGATATAGAGTAAGAAGTAAGTTTCCATCCCTGTTCCCCTTCATCCCCTTCCCATAGACAACAAATTTTACCAGTTTCTTACCGATCCTTTCAGAGATACTCCACTATATTTACAAAAACGTGTATACACAATCTGCAAAGTAATTTTAATATTAAAACATAGCATACAAACTAGAAAACCATTCCCTTAGGAGGAAAGGAGACATAGTATTGCCTTCATGGCTTAGAGCTTATGCCCTTTGAAAATTAGCTTTTTTTTTTTTTTTTAAGATTTTATTTATTTATTCATGAGAGACAGAGAGAGAGGCAGAGACACAGGCAGAGGGAGAAGCAGCAGGCTCCATGCAGGGAGACTGGGACTGGATCCCAGGTCTCAGATCACGCCCTGGGCTAAAGGCAACACTAAACCGCTGAGGCACCCAGGCTGCCCTGAAAATTAGCTTAAAAGTGGAAACATCTTAGACAGAAAACAGGTACTTATTTGGGCAGAATAACTCATCAACATCAGCTTTGAAAAAGGGGAAAAAGAAGCCTTTTGGTGATTGGGAGGAATTTCAATGGTTTCTAATTAGAGTCCATTTTTCTATTTTTAAGATTTTTTTTTCAGTAATCTCTACATCCAACATAGGGCTCAAATTTACAATCCCAAGATCAAGAGTCACATCCTCCAGAGACACCGACTGACCCAGCCAGGTGCCCCTGGAGCCCATTCTTAATACGTTCTATTCTCAGCTATACCTAGCTGGCTCAGTCAGTAAAATATGTTGACTCTTGATCTTGGGGTCATGTAGTTTAACCCCTATGTTAGGCATAGAGCTTACTTCAAAAAGAAAAAAGTAAATAAACATTCTGTTCTCAGGGTGCCTGGGTGACTCAGTTAAGCGTCTGCCTTTGGCTTGGGTCATGATCCTAGGGTCCTGGTTGAGCCCCATGTAAGACTCCCTGCTCAGCGAGAAGGCTGCTTTTCCCTTTCCTCTGCCTGCAGCTCCCCCTGCTTTTGCCCTCTGTCTCTGTCAAATAATTTTTTAAGTCTAAAAAAATAATAATGTTTTTAAACATTCTCTTCTCAATCTTAAAAAAGATAATAAGTCCCAGATGCTAGCTTAAAAAGACTAATTCATCCTTATTTAAAAATAGAAGCAATGGGGCGCCTGGATGGCTTAGTTGGTAAAGCTAGAGCATCGCATCCAACTCTTGATCTCAGGGGAGTGAGCCTGGGCCCCAACTCGGTGCAGAGATGGCTTTAAAAAAAAAAAAAATAGGGATCCCTGGGTGGCGCAGCGGTTTGGCACCTGCCTTTGGCCCAGGGCGTGATCCTGGAGACCCGGGATCGAATCCCACATCGGGCTCCCGGTGCATGGAGCCTGCTTCTCCCTCTGCCTATGTCTCTGCCTATGTCTCTGCCTCTTTCTCTCTCTCTCTCTCTGTGTGACTATCATAAAATAAATAAAAATTAAAAAAAAAGAAAAACAAAAAAAAATAGAAGCAATAAACCAAATGTGGCAGATCTATGTATGGAATCTTATTTGCTGATGAAAATAATGAAGTACAGATACGTGCTTCAATATGGATGAATTTGAACGTATTACACCAAGAAGGCAGACACAAAAGCCACATATTGAATGATTCCATTTATATGAGATTTCCAGTTAGGCGAGCCTATAGAAAGAAAAGGTCAGTTAGTGGTTACCAGGGCCTGGGGGGATGGGGATGACCAACTGGTTGTGTGGTTTCTTCCAGAAGTGATGAAAATATTCCAGAATTAGTGGTGATGGCTGCACAACTCTGTGAATATACTAAAAACCACTGAGTTGTATACTTTAAAAATAGTTTTATGGTATGTTTATTATATCTTAATATAGCTGTTATTTATTTTTGTTAAGAGTTTATTTATTCATGAGAGACACAGAGAGAGGCAGAGACACAGGCAAAGGGAGAAGAAGGCTCCATGGAGGGAGCCCAACATGGAACTCGATCCCAGGACTCCAGGATCACGCCTTAAGCTGCAGACGGACACTCCACCACCAGCCACCCAGGTGTCCCTGTAGCTATTATTTAAAACAATAGAAGCTGCTAGTTTTTTTAATTTCTTTTTTTTAAATTTTTATTTATTTTATGATAGTCACACACAGAGATAGAGAGAGGCAAGGCAGAGACACAGGCAGAGGGAGAAGCAGGCTCCATGCACCGGGAGCCCAACATGGGATTCGATCCCGGGTCTCCAGGATCGCGCCCTGGGCCAAAGGCAGGCGCTAAACCGCTGCGCCACCCAGGGATCCCTAGAAGCTGCTAGTTTTAAACTGAAAAGGTAAGAGAAATTGCTTGGTGATTTAAAAAAAATCTTTGAGGGGACCCTGGGTGTTTCAGTTGGTTAAACATCTTCCTTTGGCTCAGGTCATGATTCCAGGGTCCTGGGATAGAGCCCCACGTCAGGCTTCTGACTTAGCAGGGAGCCTGCTTCTCCCTTTCCCCCTGCTCATGCTCT